CTTCTGGCCTGCAGACATACACACAGACATAATATTGTATACATAATAAATAAATAAATATTAAAAAAAAAAAAAGAAATACAGAGCTGGAGAGAACACGGCAGTTAAGAGCACTTGCTGCTCTTACAGAGGATAAATGCTCACTAAGATCCGTAACCCCAGTGTCAGGACATCCAGCACCCTCTTCTGGCCTCCAAGAACACCAGTCTTGCAGGCCGTGCACATACATACATGCAGGCAGAACGCTCATACACATAAGATAAGAATAAGTAAACCATTAAAAATTAAAAAGAATTTTTGGACTGGAGAGATAGCTCAGCAGTTAAGAGCACTGTTTACTCTTAGAAAGGACCCTAGTTTGAGTCCCAGCATCCTCATGGTGACTTACAACCATCTTGAACTTCAGTCCCAGGGGACCTGATGTCTCTTTTCATCTTCTCAAGCACTGCACACATGTATTGTACATACATACACTCAGGTACACGCACATAGATAGATAGATAGATAGATAGATAGATAGATAGATAGATAGATAGATGATCTTAAAGGAAACAGACTCCGATAAGATGTGAGATGCTGACACCCGAGGTCTCGGGGAGAGGCTGTCCAGAACAATCATGGCCGTGGTCATGAATGTCATGAGGAGGTGATGGGCAACAGAAGGAATGAAGACTCTCAGGTTCTTCATGCGGCGCTGTGTGATCTGTGGGCCTTCCCTCACAGGTGCTGGCTGCGGGCTTTAAGTGCTCTGAGGAGGAGGAAGACAAAGAGGAAGAGGAAGAAGGGAAGGAGCTGCTCCTAGGGGCTCTGGATGGCCCCAACCAGGTGTCATTCCAAGTGTCCTGGCCCCAGCTGCTCTATACCTACCAGCTCCTACACTCCCTGGAGCTTGTCCTCTCTCGGGCTGTTCGGGACCTGCTGCTGTTGACCATGCCCCAGCACCCAGGCCCGGCTTGGGATTCCTAACACCTAGCTTCCGGCCCTATGGAGTGACTTTCGGCTCCCTTCCCACACCCGTTAAGACGCTAAGGCTGGAGGCTGGCCAACAAACAGTATAGGAGAGCCTCTAGCCCATTTGCCTTAGACCAGGCAGGGCTTCACTAGTCCCCAGCCCTGACCCAATAACTTAAATGTCCAACAGTCCTCACCAGATATTTATTTCTTGGATATTTATTTATTTTTAGAAAATGATGGTTTATTTATTGTCTCATTCTTGAGTTAGGCCACCGTGCCGGGTGCCTAATAAAGCCTTCTGGCCCACTTTGAGCCTCCATGTCTTCACAGGAGTATCTGACACCCAAAGAGCAGGACAGCTTGGGGAGAGTCCAAAGCTTCTGCCTGCCCAGAACCTTTCTCTACTTCTATATTCTTGAAGTTTCCACAATGTATCCCAACTCTGGCCTGGAGGTTACCATAGCAACCTGCAGAGTCGTGATGCTGAGCTATCATTTTGGAAACTCAAAAGCAGCTGGTCTGCTGCTCATAACCTTTGAACTCCAGGCCCTTGAAGTTCTTTCCTTCGGGCTGACTTCCACCAAAGAGGTGTGTTACCTTACACAGCTCTCTGTGGGGCTCTAGCATGATGGGTAGTTGGGTGGGGGTGATCATACAGGGAAGACTTAGGGAAGGAGGCCTCCCTAGTCCTGTCTTCCTTGTAGTCTCCTGAGTAGCCAAGACAGATGGGAAATGTGACCAGGGAGGGACCCATGATAGATGCCAGTGGGACCGGTGCTCCACCAGCTTACACTGTGGGATCAGACTCCTTAGATTCAAGGTCTTCATAAACATCTGGTTTAGCTGAGGCCCACAGAGGTACAAAGATATGTTTCAGTAGCTGAGGGAGTCGAGGGTAACCAGAGTCCAGCAGAGCGTCCTGACCCTCCCTTAGGAGGCTTGTCTCACAAGGGCTCTAGGCCCTGTCACTGTGGCTTTGGCCTGCTCAGTCGGGCTTGCAGCTCCTGCATCATGCCAGGATGGGCGAAGCCGAACCTGTAGAAGGAACAGACCCATGGGAACTGGATCCCAGGTGCCCACAGCCTCCTCACCATCCCAAGTATAGTGCCCCGTGCCTACCCAGGTCCCAGCATTTTTCTCCTGGCTGGCACCGGAGTGTCTACAGGCCTTGTGGCACTTAGTTCTGAAGTTTCCTCTGGCTGAAGAGGCGACGGCTCAGGGAACAGCTCCTCCTGGGGTTGGGGACTGGGAGGGTCATACTGCGGCTCAGGAGCGGAAATTCTGCGCAGCGAGGGCCTTGAGCGCCGCCGTGAGGAACTTCGAGAGAGAAGCACACGACTCCGTGGGACAGAGACGTCCAGGAGGGTTCCAGGGAGCAGGGCCTGCAGGGTAGGGGACACAGAGGACTGTGGAGAGCTGACTTCCAACTTCTGCTTGTCCCTCTCAGGGTCCTGCTGGAGCCCTCACCTCATTCCAGCTGCTGTGAGCATCCCCTGGGGCACTTGCTGTGGCCCCACCCGATTCAGAGAAGCCAGGCACAGTTAGTGTGGGGATTTGGTGTATCTGATGCCTCTCTTGGTCTGAGGGTTCTGGATCATTCTCCTGGATCTCTGTCCTCTGTGCTTCTCTCTCGGCATCCTCCACATCATGCAGCTTTTGTGTCTCTCTCTCAGAGTTGTGGGCCTCCCACTCTCTCGATAGCCCTCCTCCAGATTCTTCTTCTAAGGACATCTGATCTCCTAGGCGCCCCTCAGTCTCCACGATGGTTATAGACCCCTCAGCTTTCTCTGTCTGGGAGCCTAAAGTCACTCCCTCTATTCCTGTCATTCCTTCTGCCATTACAGATGTCCCCATATCTGCCTGCTCTCTCTCTCCAGTCCCACCAATTTCTTGGATATCATAACTAGGTGCCTTCTCCTCTACTGAGCTCTCCGAGGCAACTTCCTGCCCACTTTGCGTCTCTGTAGCCTCTTCCAGCTCCATGCCTCCCCCGGTCTCCCCTCTGCCCTTGGAATGCTGGGCTCTCCCAAATTCCCTCTCTTGACTCACCCCAGCTTCCCATTCCGGCCCTTCCTCAGCTCCCACAGTCCTGATACCCATGCTAATCTCAGCCTCTGAAGAACTGGTCTGCATATCTTCACTGTCCTGCAGGCTCAGGGCCACCTCCTCCAGGCTCCTCTTCCTACACATTCTGTTTGTCTCCCAAGGCACTGCAGCCTCCCCCTCACTAGTCTTGCTTTCCATGGGCTTGAATTCTTCCACTGACTGGCCTGTCGCTACCTCTGCTCCTTGGCTTCCCTCTAGCTCCTGGTCCACTGCTATGGAGGTCAACTGTGCCTCTGCTCCCCACCCTGGGATCTCTGGCTGTTGGGACTCTAGGCCTCTTTCAACCTCCACCTCCACTGCCTGTCCTGTTGCAATCTCTTCCTCTTCTTCTTCAGCATCTACTTTTACATCCTCGGTGTTTCTATTGTCCACATCCCTTCCCTGGTTTTCCTGAGCTTCTAGCTCAGGATCTGCAAATCCTACAGGCCTGAGGCAGCTCTCCAAGCTCAGCACCCCCTCTGGGCTCAGGTCTGGAGCTCTCTTGGTCTCTTCCTGACCCTGCTGTCCTTCCTCAAAGTGTTCAGTCAAGGTCTGGGAACCTCTCAGCAGCTCAGGGTCCTGTCCTTCGGTGGCCTTTGCTCTCAATACCTCTAGTCTCATCTGAGTGGCCTCACTCTCCTCTGCCATAAACAACTCCTCAGGCCTGGCTTCTGGAGAGTCTTCCAAGTCAGGCTCACATTTAGCCTCCTTGTCCAGGGCTAGCACAGCCTCTGTGGTCCCATAGCCCCTTTCCTCCTCGGCGAACTCTTCTACCTGCATCTCCTCTTCCAGACTCACCCTCCTATCAGCACTGGCTAAGTCTTGCCTTTCCTCGCCCTCAAAGCTGCCCTGCATCTCCTGGTCTCCCACAGTCTCCTTCCCTACTATCTGGCCTTCAGTCATCTCTTCAGTCCGCTCAGTCTCCAGCGTCTGGGGCTGATGTCTAGCTTCAGCCTCTCTCTTCTCATCCATCTCACCTTGCTGCTCTCCCTGGCAAGCCTCTTCTAGGACCCAGACTCTCCCAGTAGCTTCTGGAATGCTGTCTTCTGAGTCTAGCCCATAGTCTGCTTCCCTAATGCCTAAGTCATCAGTGTCCTTCCTGCCTGAGACTGTCCAGGCCTTTCTATCCAGCATGACCTCAGATTCTGCCCCTGGGTGTTGTGCTCCCTGTGCCCCTGCACTTTGGCCATCCCTCACCAGGACTATCCTCTCTTCTTCCTCGTCACCCCCTTTGGCCTCAAACCCCTTAGTTTCTGTGACTACCTCCTTGGCCATCCAGTCTGTCTCTTTGCTATCCTCTGTTACATTCTGCCTGTCAGGACCAGCAGACCCCTCAGGCTCCCTATGCCAGGCTGGTTGTGACAACTCCACACCCCTGGCCATTCCGGGCTCTGCTGCTCTGACCACCTCCTCCTCTTCTTCCTTCTGTTCACAGGTTCTCAGCGGCTCCCCACTGTTCACTTCCTGCTCACCGTGCTCCCAGATCTCCTGGGCTCTCTTACTGTTCCTGTCTCTCTGAGTCCCAGGCCCTGCCTCAGGCTTCAGCAGAGCATTTGGCTCCTGGCCCCTGGCACCCTCAGCTGCCTTCCTGGACCCAGTGTCCTGCTTTTCTGCTCGGGGCCTTGGGGAGCTGTCTGCTCTCCACCCCCATGCCTGTTCACCAGCTAAACTTCCTTCTTGGCATCTGATGATCTCTCTAGGTGCTGCTACCCTCTGACTCTGGTCACTTCTAAATCCCTCCAGCGCCTCCTGGGCTTCCTCCTGAATAAACTTCCCCGGCTTCCCTGCAGCCACTTCCCCCAGTTCCTCAGCTGCCTGCCTCTCCCTCTCCACCGTGGGAACTGTATCTCCTATGAGGTAGGTCACAAAAGCGCTGAAGGAATCCTGGAAGAGAAGAGAGCAGAGTGAAGACATTCAGGGGAAATCTAGCCCTTTCCCCAGAGGCACTACACCAAAGAAAGTCCAGGTAAGAAATCTGGGATTGGAAACCTGCGTAAGGACCAAGACAGGGCCTAGTCTGGAGTACATGCATGCGCTCGTGGGAGCGGGAGATTGAAACCCAGGAAGTCTGGCTGACTGTAGGAAAGGACCCCACACCTGAGGAAAGGCTCTAAGGGAGGGGAAAGGTGAGACTACAGGGAGTGGCTGGAAGCCTCCGGTATCTCTCTGCCCCTCTCACCAGTGCTCCCCTCAAGGCCTGATGTAGCCCAGGGAGGTGAAGCCGGAGAAAATCCATCCTGTCCGTCTCTGTCTGTCCAGAAAGCTCACAATGACCATCCGTCCCCACCCACGAGTGCAAGCCAGTCCTCCCCAGCACCCAAGACACTTCCTCTTCCCCTGCCTGTCCCTGACGTCTCTCCCCCCCCCCCAGGCCCCCGGCACCTCCCCCAAGCTCATGGATGACTTCACGACAGGCAGGGAGACGGCTGTACAGTGTCCAGGTGTCTCAGGCTCAGGGACACATCTGGAGCTACAGGGCAGAGGATCAGGCCAGAAAGGAAAGGTGGGAACCGGAGGCGGCAGATTTGGGCATGGGGGAGGGGGCATGTGGCAAGCGCAGCCTGAGTGACTCAGGTCTTCTATTCACACCTCAGCCAGTTCCGTCTCCTCCAAGCCACAGCCTTCAGTGAGAGGAAGCTCGGGTTTGTGGTTCCTGATTTGTCTGAGGAGAAGCAGTAGGACGAAGAATGAGGCCAGTGGAAGTTCTGGCTTCCCACTTCCATGCCACTGACACTTCTGAGGGGATGAAGGGCCTGGATTGGTGTTTCCAGTACCCGTGTCCTCACCTGTGGCTATTGTACTGTGGTTATGTGTCATGCAGCTTTCTGTGAATTCATTAAGAACAGAGGCTGCGGTATCTCTAGGGCCCTGCATGGGGAGCAGGATCCTTGTCTCATTGGTTGAGTGAGCTAGGAAGAACACAACAGGAGGGCATATTTTAAACAGCGATCTTAATGACTGGTGGTTGAAAAAGAACCAGTAGAAATGGGCACAAGCTGCTAGAAGCCATTCCCACAGAGGAATGGGCTTGATGAAGAGTGGTCAAGATGCTGCCCTACCACCGAGAGGAAGGTAAGGGAAGGACTCCTTATTTGGGGCTACGTGAGGTGACATATTCCAACTGCCCTCCCAGCCCTAATTTCCAAATTTCCTAATTTCCAAAGAGGACAACTGACTGACATCACAGAACAGGAAAAATGCTTGCTCAGTGAACTCAGCCCCTCTGCTCTCTTTCTTTCTTTCTTTCTTTCTTTCTTTCTTTCTTTCTTTCTTTCTTCTTTTTTAAACGGGTCTCTAATGTCACCTATAGGTCTAATGCAGGATTAACATTGGGGAAAGGGGACCTCGGTTTTCTCATCTGTAAAACCAGGGGTTGGACTACTTTCGTGATATTTGTTGGTTCTAGGATAATATGGAAAAGGGCTTTTCTTAACGCCTTGAATGTTGCCATAGGCAATTCATGAAAACCTGTTTGGTGGCTGCTATCTTTTAACTTTCTAGATAATCTACTCTGACCTACCTCCCAGTTGCTTACTTTTTAGGTCTTTACAACAGTCTCTAAGGACAACAGAAAGAAGGACTTGAGGCTGGTCGCCTTTGCTCCGAAGCAGAACTAGTCCTTGGAGAGTTGGGTGGGTCTTGGTACCGGAGTAGGAAAGTAGCCATATTTGTTTCAGGCAAGTGAGGGCAGCAGGAAAGAAGCTGAAGCCTCCTGCGCCATGACTAGTACTGGCAGATTTGGTCGGCGACTAGAGTGCCACTTTTCACGACTCTACTTGTGGCTCCCACCACCGTTGCAGTTCAAATCAGTGCTTCTCTTGAACTCTCCTTTTCTCACTCGCCGAAGTTTGGGAAGGCCAAAGGCGAAAAACAGGACCCGGAAGTAGGGGGAACCTTCTAAGCACGTGATGGAAGAGGCGCTGGCTCTGACACGTGACCCTCCAACCTGCTACTCTACCTTGCAGAGAGCTCAGCTCCTCTTAAAGGTACAGGTCCGGGGGCGGCGGCTTTGCTTTAGAGGGGCTGGGGGCGGGGTCCGAAGGGTGGGGCGTGGTTGGACCTGAGATGGAGTTCCGGGGATCTGGGGGATCTGTTTACGGACGGTCCTGTGTAGCAGACAGCCGGACCCGGGGCTGACCGCCTGGTGTTGATCCTTCGCACCCACCTGTCCCAGACTTTTATCTGTTCTCTTGAAGCCAACCCCGAACACACGCTGACTCTGGGCCCTTTGGGGGACTCGAACTCGATGCTATGGAAAGGTCTGCAGGCTCGTGGAGGCGCCTTGAGGATTCCGAGAGTGAGTACTCTTGTCGGTTGTCTTGAGAGTGACCACCTCTGCCCCACGAGGCTTCTGAGGAGCTCGGAAACTGGCCTGGCCCCCGCAACAGAATACATAAAATACGCGGGGTCGCCGTGAGTGGTGGGTCACGCCTTCTCTTCCTTCCAGGGGAGGAGACGAACTCAGAGCCCCACGCCCCTCCGGTGGATGGTCAGAGGGCCCAGTGGAAGAATGCGGTGGGTTTCTGGTAAGTGGTCTGAGTGTTGTGCAAAGGTCAGGTGCGACCGGAAGAAAAGGGGTGAGAATCAAGCCGCAAAAAGCAACTGAATCTACTAATACTGAGTCACAACTTGTTTACCCATGGCTACCTGTGAGCTTTCCAAATCCCATTAAATTACCGCCGTCACCTATTGATCAGAGCTTCTACCATCTGTAATGTTCTTAAAAGCTTTTCTCTCACCAACTCAGTTGCAACTTTGTTACTTTTATTTATTTATTTATTTTTTTATGGAAAGGTCTTTGTATCCTAAAGTGGGCTTTAAACTCTATGGGCCGTGGAGGCTTGCCTTGAATTTCTAATCCTCCTGCCATTGCCTTCCAGGTGCTGGGACCACAGGCCTGTAGCACCATGCCCAGCTCCCCATTGTCTTTATTTGCAGCGCAGGGCCTTCCTGGTGCTCACAGGGTGCTGTCCAAGGGAGCTCTGCCCACAGTCCCTTTGCTTTTGCTTAGCCCTGAGCACAGCTCTGGAAGGCGAAAATAAGAACTATTACTTTACAGATCAAAAGGAGCCCTGGTATTATTTTTGATTCCTCCAGTTCTCTTTAAGGTCAGGTGAGACCTGGCCCCCCATTTTACATAAGAGTATACTAAGGCCCCAGAAGTAGGAAGCAACTGACCGGGGTTTCAAGCCCTGGGTATTTCTGTTGTACCACAGTATATACGTAGATGAGAAATGCCCCCAGAACTGAATCTTAGTGCCAGCATAGAAGAAAGAGTGGTCAGGGTAGCTTCCCAGGAGAGGCCTTGACTCTTGGCCATGAGCTTTTCCAATATCAAAGCCTCTTATTTCTAACCCTGACACTGTTATTGAGGTTGGTGTTTGAAGGGTACAGGTAAGGGAGAGATCTTTAAGGGCTATAGGTCGATAGAAAGCCAGGAAGTGAAGCTCTCTCCTCGTTCTAGGATCCTGGGTCTTTGCAACAATTTCTCATACGTTGTGATGCTGAGCGCTGCTCATGACATCCTTAAGCAAGAGCAGGCGTCTGGGAACCAGAGCCACGTAAGTGAGCCCCTCTTCACCACCATGGAACTACTGAGGGCTCATCCAGGGCCAGAGGTCCCCCGAAAAACTCACGAAGTAGCCACAGGTGGACCAAAGGAGTTAAAGTCCCTAGTCTCCCATACATAGTGCCGGCGAGATGCTGGAAAGAGCAACAGGTACCAGATTGGTGAACTCAACTAACTGGCTGCATGAGACTTTGTTCTGTAGCATGTTTTGTCATCTGGGTCCTGTTGACATTTGGGACTGGGTGACTATTGTACAACCAAAAGTGACAGCCAAGAATGTCTCCAGATGTTACAAACGTTGCTAGCAGGTAAAATCACCCCAGGTGTAGAACTTCTTGTCCCCATGATCTAGAAAACATTTGCCCTAAGAACAGCTTCTACTTTGCAGGTTCAATAGGGAATTTGGTCCAAGGTGAGATTTTTCCAGAAACCCAGATTGCTATATGAATGCTCTTAAATATATTATATCCATCTTGGGGGGGTGGGTCATCGTTGTCCTCTGGGCCAATAGTTTGAGTTGCTTATCAACACTCTCCTTCACGGTGCACGTTGAAAAACTAAGGCCCCAGGAAGTCCATGCCTACCCAAAGCTACCTGTCAAGTTAGGGCAGAGCTGGGACTGGGCCTTGTTTAACCTCTTACCTCCTTATAGGAAAGACTTTCTTCTCTCTCATAGGTGGAGCCAGGCCCAACACCCCTACCTCACAACAGCTCGTCTCGATTTGATTGCAACTCCATCTCCACAGCTGTGAGTACCCACACAAGGCCCCATGATCTGTGCCTCTGCACCCTCGTCCCCTCTGCACCCAGTTGGGACTGTCAGTATTCCAATGATCAAGACTGCCAGTTACTGGGGGCCCTTTCTGTGAGTGGTAAATAGCTCAGGTAACCAACCCTCAAGGTGGCTTCTTGCACGAGGCACTGCACGCTTCCCCTTTTGGGATGAGGAAACTGAAGCTCAGAGCGTTTAAATAAATGCCTTTACTGGAGAAGCGCAACGCTGGGAAAGCTGAAACTAAGCACTGGTCTAACTCTAGAGCCTGACCTTGCAGAGGTCTCCTCGGCTGCTCTACTGCTGGTTTGGGAAGGTTACCTCTGGGAGGGTCTCGGCTCTTACTGTGTTCTCCCTTCTCAGGCAGTGCTCCTGGCAGACATCCTTCCCACCCTCATCATCAAACTCCTGGCTCCTCTTGGCCTTCATTTGCTGCCCTACAGGTCTGGGTCAGGGTGGCAGGAGGAAGGCAGAGACGGGATGTAGCAGGAGGCTGGCAAGTCTCGAATGGAGGCGGCCTTCTGAGTTCCTCTCCATTTCTTCTCAGTCCCCGGGTCCTCGTCAGCGGAGTTTGTTCTGCTGGAAGCTTTATCCTGGTTGCCTTTTCTCACTCAGTGGGGTTAAGCCTGTGTGGTGAGTATGCTGCTATGTGGGGTGGATGGGCCTGGAGAAGCCTCCACAGTCCGCTGCTGAGGTAGTCTCCCCAGCTTCCCAGAGTAAAAGGATATGTCTGTAACCCCAAGAGACTGCTAGTGGTGTTGGTCTGGGACACACACACTTGAGAGACAGGAGGATTGTGATTGCATCTGGGCCACATAATGAGTTCAAGGCTACCCTAAGCTGCGCAGCAAAATGCTATCTCAAAAAAAAAAAAAAAAAAAAAAAAAAAAAATTTAATAGAAGTGAACCATCTCTGACTTCTACTTCCCTGTGCCTTATTTGTCTTAAAAAAACAAGGAGAGTGCCGGGCCAGGCTGATCTACACAGCAAGTTCCCGACCAGCCTGGACTACATACTGAAATCTTGTCTAAAAAACAAACCTCCTAGAGCTCCCCAATCAGAGTGTGCTCTAGGAACAATTTGGAGGTGTTAGAGGAAGAGATGGGTGGACCAGTACAGACTGGGCTGAGCAGGGCTGAATAAATGGGAGGATGAGGATGGGGTACAGTCTCAGAGAAGACACGTGGGAGAGGGTGTGGATCTTTCAGAGGAGACCCTACCCTGTCCAGTCTGTTCAGTGACGTCTGCTTTTAGCTCACTGAGCGGATGGAGAGGTGAGGCTATAATCAAGCACCGCAGGGTTCCTTTCCGTTAAAGGCCACCATATGCTTTTCATCCTCCCAGGAGTGGTTTTGGCCAGTATCTCCTCAGGTCTAGGAGAGGTCACCTTCCTCTCACTCACCGCCTTCTACCCCAGGTAAGCAGGCTGGTCAGGAAGGAAGAGGAGAGGTATGCCCCCTGCTGGCTTCCATCTTCCTAAGTGCTCCTGTGTTCTCAGCGCTGTGATCTCCTGGTGGTCCTCGGGAACTGGGGGTGCAGGGCTCCTTGGATCGCTGTCGTACCTAGGACTCACGCAGGCTGGCCTTTCCCCGCAGCACACCCTGCTCTCTATGTTGGGGATTCCCATTCTGCTGCTGGCCAGGTGAGTGTCCTTGGGCCCAAAGGACAAAACTGTGGGGGGAGGAGAAACTTGATCCCGGTCCAGTCTTGAGATCTGCTCAGCTTTCTGAGGGCATGTGGATTCTGGGCTCTCGACAGCCCTCAATTTAAGTACCAGAGTGGGCATGTGTTAGCTGGGTGACTCTGGACAACTTCATTCCCGACCCCCAGTTGTCTCTGTAACGTCACAGTGGTTGTCCTTTCGTGTCAGTGGTGACGTGAAGCATCAGCACAGTGGGGCTCTGAGACTGGACTAGGGCTGAGCGCGCTCAGTGTTTATTCTGTGTGGATCTTTATGTAGGGAAAACATTAAACCAGGAGTGTTGGCGCACGCCTTTAAACCCAGCACTCAGGAGGCAAAGGGAGGGGGATCTCTGTGAGTTTGAGGCCAGCCTGGACTGCATAATGAGTCCCAGGACAGCCAGAATTATATAGTGAGACCCTGTCTCCTCCCCCTCACACCCCCCCCCCCAGCGAAAAAAAGAAAGAAAACATTACCTAGCCAGTTAAAGCTATAACTAGTAACTTCATCTATAGCTTAGGACTGTTGTGGGGTATTCACCAGAGAAGACTGCTCAAACATGGTCTTAAGTCAGCTGACAACTACTCTGGGTGTGCAGGATCCCAGTACAGCACCGAGCCTTTCTCAGGGTGAACTTTTAAGCACAAAAAAACATGGTCTGGGTTGACATACTTCAGTTCACAAGAACAGTTACCCAGAAACAGAAGTACAGAAGCTAAAACTTGAGGGTAGTACATTTAGAGACTTCCCCAGAACTAGGGACTTTGATGGATTAGGTCATTGTTTTAGTTTTGGCAGGTGGTGCTGTCTGCATGCTGAGCTTTATAGCCTGAGTGGAGTCAGTCATGCTAAGGTCTGGGAGCCTGTTACAAGGACAAGGCAAAAAAGAAGTCAGGAGGTGTGTGGTGTGAAAGTCTCTAATCCCGGCACTTGGGCGGCTGGAGCAGAGGGATCACATGTTGGAGACCCTGGCTCAAAAACTAAATATAGATAATTGGATCTGATGGCAAATGCCTTTAGTCCCAGCACTCAGGCAGCAGAGGCAGGCCGATCTCTGTGAGCTTGAGGCCAGCCTGGTAAACATATCGAGCCCCAGGCCATCCAGGACCAGGTAGTGAGACTCTGTCTCAGAAAAACTACACGAAGACATAAAAGCCCATGGTCATACAGGCTCTGGTTAAACTCGGTGATTCACACACACACACACACACACACACACACACACACACACGAAAGGCATGAACTTGAGAAAGGAATCTGTAAGGTGCTGGAAGAAGACAGGGAGGGTGGGGTGAGAGGAACCAGAGTGCAGTAGAGACATGTATTAAAACGTCAAGGAACACATTTAGTAAGAATTGCGGTAAATATTTAAGAAGTGGTGCTAGAGCAGCTGTTGGCTAATGAGAACAAGGAAATGGAATTGAGTTGCTGGTGTTGGGCTCCAAAAGGATGCATTTGGCGGGGTGGTGGTGGTGCACGCCTTTAATCCCAGCACTTGGGAGGCAGAGGCAGGCGGATCTCTGTGAGTTCGAGACCAGCCTGGTCTACAAGAGCTAGTTCAGGACAGGCTCCAAAGCTACAGAGAAACCCTGTCTCGAAAAATCAAGAAAAAAAAAAAAAAACACAAAACAAAAGGATGCATTTGAGGCTCTCACAGCACAGGATTGGATACCTGAGAGTCTGAGCTCCCCATCTTTAGATATATACAGACGTATAGGGGTCCCCAAAAAGGTGTGGCCTGCAGGACCCCTGGGGCTCTTGTCAGAACAAGAGCTCGGTGACTATTGCTTTTCTGTTCCATCCCAGCTACTTCTTGTTGCTCACATCTCCTGAAGCCCAGGACCCTGGAGGGGTAGACGAGGCAGAGACTGCTGCCCGGCAGCCACTCATAGGCACTGAGACCCCAGAGTCAAATCCAGGTAGGAGACAAAGGCCCTCTCAGGGTCACTTTCTCCCTGGGGTTTTGATCTCAACAGTGGACACAGTTGAGAAGGACAGGCTGGATAAACAGCTTTGGGTCAAAGCAGTCGTGTGTACTTACTGACCACATGCCAGGCATTCCAGTTGCTGAGACCACGGTATTCAAGATGAAATGAGGACAAACAGCGATCAGGCCCAGAGTGGTGGCACATACCTTTAATCCCGACCCCTGGAGGCCTCTATGACTTAAAGGCCACCCTTGTCTACATAGGAGTTCCAGACCAGCCAGGGCTACACAATAGGACTCTGTCTCAACATTTTAAAAAAGGAAAGAAAGGAAGGAAGGAAGGAAGGAAGGAAGGAAGGAAGGAAGGAAGGAAGGAAGGAAGGAAGGAAGGAAACTACACACCTGCAAAAGAAAAAAATAAACAAAACCAGAAAATGATAGTTAAGAAGACCAAGGGGAGCGGGCAGTGGTGGTGCATGCCTTTAATCCCAGCGCTGGGAAGGCAGAAGCAGGCAGATCTCTGTGAGTTTGAGGCCATCCTGGTCTACATGGTCTACAGAACAAGTTCCGGACTCCAAAGCTACAGAGAAACCGTGTCTCGGAAAAACAAAAACAAAACAAACAAACAAAAAATACCAGGGGAGGATTAAGAGCTCTGCTTTACAGAAGGTTCTAAGAGGGTTGTTTTTTGTTTGTTTCTGGTTTGTTTTGTTTTCAAAGATTTATATATTATATATAGTGTTCTGCCTGCAAGTATGCCTACACGCCAGAAGAGGGCACAAGATCTCATTATAGATAGTTGCACTCAGAACCTCTGAAAGAGCAGTCAGTGTTCTTAACCTCTGAGCCATCTCTCCAGCCCTGTGTTTGTGTTTTTTTTAATTTTTGTTTTTTTTTTTTTCTTTTAACAGAGTCTCTCACAGGGCAGTGGTGGCACGTACCTTTAATCTCAGCACTTGGGAGGCAGGTGGATCTCTGAGTTTGAGGCCAGCTCTGGTCTACAGAGCAAGTTCCAGGACAGCCAGGACTACACAGAGAAACCCTGTCCAAAAAAAAAAAAAAAAAAGCAAAAACAGTCTCTTTATATGGCCCTTGCTGGCCTGGAACTCACTCTATAGAACAGAATGGCCTCAAATTTACAAGATCCACCAGCCTCTGTTTCCCAAATGCTAGGACTAAAGGTGTGTGCCATCATACACACCTGGCTAAGATTTATTTTTATCTTTATTTATGTGTAAGTGGTTTTGGTGAATTTACACTATGGAAGTGTTGAGTGCCCACAGAGACCAGAAGAGGATGTCAGATCCCTTGAAGCTGCAGTTGCAGGCAGTTGTGAACCACCTGATGTGGGACTGGGATTCTAATTCTGGTCCTCATGATGGAGCAGCAAGTGCTCTTTGTTTGTTTCAAGACAAGGTTTCTCTGTGTGGCCCTGGATGTCCTGGCACTTGCTCTGTAGACCAGAACTGGCCTCAAATTTAAAGATCCGCCTGTCTCTTCCTCCTGAGTGCTGGGATCAAAGGCATGTGCCACCATCACCCTGCAAGAGACTCTGTTTTTAAAAGAAAAAAGTATAAAAATAAAAATAACCATCTTAGAACTGTCCGACAGCAAGTGCTCGTAACCTCCTAGCAATCCCTCCATCTCTGAGAAACCTTTTCTTTATTTAATGTTTTGTTTATTTTTATTTTATGTGCACTGATGTTTTGCCTGTGTTATGTCTATTTGAGGGTGTTGGATCCCTTGGAACTAGAGTTACAGACAGTTGTGAGCTGTCATGTGGGTGCTGGGAATTGAACCTGGGTCCTCTGAAAGAGCAGCCAAAACTCTTAACCACTTAGCCATCTCTCCAGCCCCCAAGAGAGCTTTTAAAAACAACAACAAACTATTTATTTACTGGGAGTGGGAGGGTGAGCTGGGGAAAGGGCATGTGCTCAAATGTGGAGGTCAGAGGTTCTGGGAATTGAACTCTACCCAGTCAAGCCTGACAGCACATACGTGTGAGCCATCTCATCAGCCCCAGAAGGCTCTTTAAAGGACAGTTTTGGGCTGAAACTTGTCTGTCTAGGAGTCAACCTTGTGAATGTGTAGGTGAAGATGTTCCGGGCTCAGGAAACATCTCTGACTGAGGCCTTGTAGTAGAAAAAGTCTGACTGTCTTAGAGACAGAAAGCAGAACCAGAGTCTGGGATGGGGTCAGCAGAGGAAAGCTGTACACTGATCTACAGTCTTGCTGCTTTAAAAAAAAAAGTTTAGTGTGTGTATGTGTGTGTGTGTATACATGTGTACAAGTTATGAAATCTATCATTTTAACCACTACTAAGTATGCATCCCAGCGCCATTTAATACGAAGGCACTGCTGTGATGGCTGGTTGCTCGCCGCATGATGGTGCCCAGCTAGGCATTCTGTGTTCAACTTCTTCCCCTTTCTCCCTGCTCTCTAGGTTCCAGCTGGGACCTCTCGTTCCAGGAGCGGTGGACAGTGTTCAAGGTTTGGACGGTGGCTGTGGGTGCGCTGTGAGGAGCCTCTGTCTCTGCTTCCCGCTTACTTCTCCCACTCTTCCAGGGCCTCTTGCGATATATCACCCCCTTGGTGCTGGTTTACTTTGCCGAGTATTTCATCAACCAGGGTCTTGTGAGTGAGGGCGACTGGGAAGGGGGTGCGGGAGGAGAAATAGGGCTGAGGCTCCACCGATCCCCACTTGTCTGGTCTCTGCTGCAGTTTGAGCTCCTGTATTTCCGGAACACATCCCTGAGTCATGCTGAGCAGTACCGATGGTGAGAGAAGTTGGCAGGTGGGCGGTGGGCTAGGAGGATCCCTCTGTGTTGAGGACCTGGAGTTAACCCCATAGGACCAGAGGAGCGTCCTCATCCTCCCTGCCCTCACCTCAGGTACCAGATGCTCTACCAGGCTGGCGTGTTTGTCTCCCGCTCTTCTCTGAACTGTTGCCGAATCCGGTTCACCTGGGTCCTAGCCCTGCTGCAGGTACTGAGCCCCTGCCCTTTCTTCCACTCTCACCTCGACTCCCAGCATCCCTCACTCAGAAGATCTTAGTGTACGCTAGCATTCCTAAGTACGGCAGTAAACGCCGGCAGGGTTCCATATAAAAGGTGTGGTGGCATCAGAAGCCGGCCATACTTGTGGGCAAATACCAGTTTCTGTACTGAATAGCTGTGTGACTCAGAGCAGGTCTTTGAACCTCTAATGAGCCTCAGTTTCCCCATTGAGAAATCAGATGTGGTGGGTCAGGATATGTAACCCAGTGACAGAGTGTTTGTCTAGCCTGTGTAAGGCTGTGGGTTCCATCTTAGTACTGCAGAGACTAAAATGTTTAATAGCTATGGGCAACAACTATTTCTCATGGTTTTGTACAACAACATTGAGGGGCAAGTGGAAGAATAAGATATTGTTTTGGTTTATTTTGGTTTCATTGTTGTTGTTTGTTTTATTTTTTAGGGTTTTTTTTTTCTTTGTTTTTGAGACAGGATCTTACTGTGTTGTTCTGGTTGGCCTGGAATCAAATATGTAGACCAGGCTGTCCTGGAGCTCCCAGATCTGCCTCACAAATACCGGCATTAAAGGCGTGTACCGTCATGCCTGGCCTCTTGTTGTCGCTTGTTTTTATGGTCCTTGTGATTGAACCTAGGGCCTTGTGCATGTTAGGTCAGTGCTCTTATTGAGGTACATCTTAAACCTTCAAACTTTCTATTTATTTATTTTTACAATTTAAAAAAATTATAATTAGATTTTTACTTATTTATTGGGGGAGAAGGCGCTTGCCAAGTTGTGTGTATGGAGGTCAGAGAACAACCTGCAGATTGGTTCTCTTCTCCCACATGTGGGTTCTAGGGATCTAACCCAGGTCATCAGCTTGGGAGCAATGGATAAAAGCTTGGGCCTTTATCCAGTGAGCCATCTCATCAGCCCAAGCATTTTATTTGGAGGCAAATTTTTTGGTTTGTTTTGTTTTCGTGTGTTTGTTTTTCAATACAGGGTTTCTCTAAGTAACAGTTCTGGCTGTAGGGACTTTACTCTGTAGATCAGATTGGCCTAGAACTCAGAGATCTGTCTGCCTCTGCCTCCAGATTGCTGGGGCTGGCATTAAAAGTATGTGCCACTTGGCTGATTTATTTTTTAATAAAATTATATTTATGTATTTTTATTGTATGTATAATATATGGTATGTGTATCTGCCCACAGGGGTATGCACACACTTGCCTGAATGTGGAAGCCAGGGAATACCTTTTTTGTCTCTCCTTCTGGGTTTTGGGAGCTCAAATTTAGGTTGTCAGACCTGCACAGCAAATGTCTTTACTTGCTGAGCCATCTTCCCACGTTCCCTACTCCTCACCCCAGCCTTAGTGGGTTTTTGGTTTTTTTTGTTTTGAGTTTGTAGGTTTTGCTTATTTTGAGTTTGTATTTGTATGGGTATTTTTTATTTATCTGCCTGCTTGTGTGTCTATGCACCACATGCTTGCAATGTCCACGAAAGCCAGAAGAGGGCATGAGATCCTGGGAAACTAGAGTTACAGATGGTTGTGTGCTGCCGTGTAGGTGCTGGGAACTGAACCCACATCCAGAGTGTTCTTAACCACCCAGCTGTCTCACCAAGCTCCAATTTTTTTTTTTTTTTAAGACACGGTTTCTCTGTCAATTTGGAACCTGTCCTGGAATTAGCTCTGTAGGCCAGGCTGGCCTCAAACTCACAGGGTTTCACCTGCTTCTGCCTCCTAAGTGCTGGGTTTAAAGATGTGCGCCACCACCACCTGACCCCATGTTTTTAAGGCAGGGTCTCACTGTATTGTCCAGACTGATCTTGAACTTGATGATCCTCCTACTTCTGTTTCCAGAGTGCTAGGGTTTCAGGTATAGGCCCGCATGCCTGGCTTTTACCACATTTTAATTGGTCGAAATGTGTTTCATGATTATTTGTCAACACTTTATGCAAAGAGACATATTTTCAAATCAGACAGAGACATACTGCTTGCACCTGGGAGCAAACGCATGCTTCTCTCATGGTAGGTTAGGTTACTTAGAATAACATCAATGGCATTTTTGGTCAGATGAGTGTTTTTATCCATGAATAATTGCTGGAAACAAATTCAGCTGCCCTAACAAACAGAGATCTGTGGTTCTTAGTAAATATGGCTCTCTGTAGCAGTCTCCCAAGAGGAGTCTCATGCACCAGCATTCATCTAGAGATCTCCAACCCTAAAGTGACTTAAACCTCTGACTATGGGTTGAGCATCCCTAATGTAAACATCTGAAACCCAAAATGCAGAATGTACTAATGCGTGCGACACCACAAAGCTTCATTTCATGGGGAAATGCCGACAAATACTGTAGTAGCTACCTTCAGGTCACGTGTGTGAGTATACATGAAAAATGAGTTTCACATTTAGACTTGGCTCTATCCCCAAAATCTATCATTATGTATATGCTAATACTCCAAAGAGCTAAAAACATCTAAAAAATCCTTCTGTTTCCAAATGTTAAGGGGTTCGTTCCCTGCATTACAGGAAAATACTTTTGCCCTTAACATTGAGGAGCTCAATCCATGGGGTTAAAGAGATGGCTCAGCAGGTAAAGGCACTTACTCACCACCAAGCCTAACCACCCAGGTTTGATCCTTGGAATCCACATGGTGGAAGGAGAAAAGGGACTCCCAGAAGAGAGGTGCCATGTGCCACCCCTCAAAAAATATGTGTAATTAAAAATATCTTTTTTTTAAATTAAGATGATGGGCCAGAAAGATGTAAGGGTACCTGTTGCCACCAAGCCTGACTACCTGAGTGCAATCCCTAAGTCTCACACGGTGGAAGGAGAGGATCAACTACTGAAAATTCTATGATCTCTACACACATGTGCACTGGCATACACACACACACACACACACACACACACACACACTTGTACACTCAAAATCAAAAAAGTGTGCCAGGAGGTGGTGGTGCATGCCTTTACCCCAGCACTGGGGAAGCAGAGACAGGCAGATCTTGGTGAGTTCAAGGCCAGCCTGGTCTTCAAACTAAGTCCCATGACAGCCAGAGCTACACCACGAAACCCTGTCTCAAAACAGCAACAACAAAAAAAAGTGAAAGTGGGGAGTGGGGTGCATGTTTCAGTGATGCCACCAAGCCTAACAACCTGAGTTTGATATCTGATGTCCATACATGTGCATAAGTGCACATATACACCAAATAAATGTAATAATTTTTTAATGTAAGAAAACTTAATTCTATGATGAAATACAGAAGTATAGATTATATCCTGAAGCTCAATAGCCTCTGACCCTCCTATAAATCTGATCAGTGATATTAGCCCAAGGCTGGGTCAATAGTTGTCAGCATTTACACATGGAGATTCTAGAGTCGCCGGATGTATTAGCTAGCTTACAGGCTGAGGAGTTGCCTTATCCCTGATCCCTACCGTTACCCACAGCACCAGGCCTCATGCCACAGGTGCAGGTTTGCAGCTCCTCCCCTTGCATCTCTGTCACCAGAGTGCATTCTTAATGTAGATCGCTGAGCCTTTCCAGATGACGTAGTGATGGCTTCAGAATGAGGAGGCCTTCCTGGTCCCTGGTTAACACATCCCCAGTTAAGACTTTGTATGTGGATCCTGTGAGCCTCCAGGTGGTGACCTACACTCGAGGGAGGGCATACAGTGTCCTAAAATAGCAGAACCTGGAACAGAGGAGGGATTGGCACCATCAAGTGGGGGATCAAGGAGGCTTCTTGAAATGAGAACATGAAAACTATGGTTTCTCAAACACCAGGACTCTTAACAATTTTTTGACTTTTTAAGACCAGATCTCTCACCAGGCGGTGGTGGTGCATGTGTTTAATCCCAGCACTCAGGAGGCAGAGGCAGGCAGATCTCTATGAGTTCGAGACCAGCCTGGTCTACAAGAACTATTTCAAGGACAGGCTCCAAAGCTACAGAGAAACCCCATCCCAAAAAAAAAAAAAAAAAAAAAAAAAACAGAAAAGAGAGAGACCAGGTCTCTTTATGTATCCTTGAGTGGCCTGGAATATGCACTATTTAGATCAGGCTGGCCTCAAACTCAGAGAGATTTGCCTGCCTCTGGAGTGTTGGGATTAAAGGTGTGCTCTACCACACTACCGACCCTTTTTTTTAATTTATTATATAAACGTTGGCCTGCACGTGCATGCGTGTGTGAGAGTGTGTGTGTGAACTATCTGTGTGCCTGGCACTTGTGGAGGCCAGGAAGGGTGTCAGATCCTCTGGAAGTGAGATTACAGATATTCCTGAGTCCCCTCTCAGGTCCTCTGCAACAGCAGCAAGCTCTAGTAACCACTGAGCTGTCTTTCCAGTCTCCATTTTCATAGTCTTGACATTTGCAGCCTGATAGTTTGTTGTGTTGTCGTCTTGTACATTGTAGGTGCTTAGCGGTGTCCCTGACTAGAGGCAGTGAGACAGACAGAGAGGTCTCCATCCTGTAATGAGGGGAGAATGGGAGATGTTCAGGGGAGCCCTGGGGAGCTGAAGATAACACTGGTAGAGCACTTGCCTGTGAAGCACAAGGTCCTGACTTCCATCTGCTGGCGGGGGTCAGGCAGTGGGGAGGAGAGCAGTGTGGGGGAGTCTAGGTGTGATGGTTCATGCCAGAAAGAAAAAACAAAAAAGCCAAGGAGGAAATGAGATGACCACTGACCACAGTGGAAATGACCATGATCCAAGTTCCAAGTTGAGAGATCACCAGTGAGGGACAGTTGAGGAGCACTCCAGGCTAGGGGTTATGGGAACAAAGGAAGGGAGGAACCTACAAGGTGTGTGGGGATGAGGATGGGGCAAGGGAAGGCCCACCAAGATCTTAGGGTCCTGCAGACCCGGCTGGGAACTGGGATCCCACCCAGGCCTGTTAGTACCTTCTTTTCCTTCCCCAGCTTTGAGACTTGTGACCTCCGTGCTGTGCTGTGCTGTGGCTCGGTCTCAAGCCTCCCCTTGCCTCTGTCCACAGTGCCTCAACCTGGCCTTCCTACTGGCTGATGTTTGTTTGAGCTTCCTGCCCAGCATCTACCTCATCTTCATCATTATTCTGTATGAAGGGCTCCTGGGTGGGGCCGCCTACGTGAACACCTTCCACAACATTGCTCTAGAGGTCTGTGCTGGCTGGGTAAGGGCTTTGGGTGGCCTCCAGATTCTTGTGGGTGGAAGCCTAACGCCTTGTTCTTTGCTCTCCTAGACCAGTGACAAGCATCGAGAGTTTGCCATGGAGGCTGCCTGTATCTCTGACACCTTGGGAATCTCCATGTCAGGGGTCCTGGCCTTGCCTCTGCATGACTTCCTCTGCCATCTCCCTTGACATGGGTTGTTCAGGACTCACTGACCCGCAGACAGATGAGACACACTTGTGAGCTCTGCTCTAGCCCTTCCCAGCAGGCTGGGGAGTGGGAAGAGCTACAGTCCTGCCCTGCTTCAGCAAGGAGCCCCCATTGTTTCCCGCCCCTGAGCTGGTCTCTGGGAGTTTCCCTCAGCCTTATGCCCTTCTAATAAATGCTTATTTTATCAGTTCACCTTGTGTGCCGTGTAACAAGCTTTCTGTCGGACTATCTTTGTTATCACCCCGTCCCCAAATAATGACATAGAGACTTATTATTAATTATGAAAACTTGGCCTTAGCTTAGGCTTGTTCCCAACTAGCTCTTATAGCTCAGTTGACCTGCTTCTACTAATCTACCTTCTATCATGTGGCTTGGCCCCTCTGTACTGCATGTCCAGTTTGTTGTGTGTTTTCCTGGTGTCTCTGCCTTTCTTCTTCCCAGCATTCTCTCTTTCCCCTGAAATCCTGCCTATTCTCACCTACTTATTGGCCATTCAGCTCTTTATTCAGCCAATCACAATGACACATCTTCACACAGTGTCCACAAATAGTCACAACATCTCCCTCCTTTTGTCTAAGTGAAAGGGAAGGTTTTAACTCTCACATATTAAAATCATATAAAATAAGAACAGTTATCTGGTAAGAACTACATTCACATGTCCAGTCCATTTGTATTTGGCATATTTAAAGAAATTACTCCACTATCTAGCCTATCTTGGTGAGTCCAAAGTTTTATTCCTAAACCATTTTCTATCATAACTTGTATTGTTGGTAAACTGAAAAATATCTTTTTAAACTTAAAAACATTTTCTTAGACAAACCACTTAAGCTTTTATGTCTCTCAGCCCTACGCACTTTACATCTCTTTTGTGAGTTTCTTTTTAGAATTTGGTAACAAGGAAAACTGGTGTTGTCAGCTGTCTCCAGCCTGTAGGCAATGACTAGGAGCTGTGTCTCTCTGTGCACTCCAAGCACTGGTCTGCCTGAGAGACTGCAAGACTAGGAATCCACATCCAGCTCTTTGTCCAGAACCTTTCTTAGCTTCCTCAGGCCCTATGTTGGGCTGTTCAAGTCTCCTTTATATGTAGTTGGATTGGGGGGGGGAGGCCTGCCAGCTCATTAATAATGACACAGAGACTTACTAATTATAAAAGCACAGCCTTAGCTTAGGCTTGTCCCTCTAGCTCTTACAACTTAAATTAACCCTTTCAGATGAATCTACACTCTGTCACACGGTATTACCTCTCTTCCATCTTACACCTCCTGTTTCCTCTCTCTGTCTCTGGCATTTTCCCCATGTGTAGATTCCTGTTCTCCTTCCTCTCTCTGCCCAGAAGTCCCACCTATACCTCCTGCCTAGGTGTCGGCCATGTGGCATTTTATTACATCCATCACAGCGATACATTTTCACACAGCACACAAAATCCCACGGCATCAGAGGCCTGAGACTTCCCCTTTGCCTGCCTGGCTGTGTGCATTGGTCTGTGGGTTTGTATCCGAGTGCTAGTCTGTGTGTATGCATATGCCTGTTGCAGCTTCCAGGACTAAATCACTTTTCCGTTGCTGGGAAGAAAACATGCATGGCCAAGGCCACTTGCAGAAGAAAGTTTACTTAGAGCTTACTGTTTCAGAGGCTGAGTCCATGACCACCAGGCAGGGAGTGTGGCAGCAGGCAGGCATGAACGGCACTGGAGCAGGAGCTCAGAGATTATGGAACAAAGAGGCAGATGGAGAGAGACAGGGACAGAAACTGGGAAAAGTATGGGCTTTGCAAACTCAAAGCCTGTATCCAGAGGTATACCTCCTCTAACAAGGCCATACCTGGTGCCCAAGGAGGCCAGAGAATGACTTTACATCTCCTAGAACTAGAGTTATGAATGATTGGGAACCACCATGTGGGTGACAGAAACTGAAGCTGGGTCCTTTGCAAGAGCAACAAGTTCTATTAACCATTCAGCCATTTCTCTGGCCACTTAGTTTTGTTTTTGAGACGGACCGTGTAGCCCAAGCTGGCTTCAAACCTGAGTTCTTTCATGCCCAGCCAGGATTTCTTCTGAAGGTGATAAATGTGATCTCAGATTGTGGACACACAGATATTTGTGTGCACACACTCACAGGCATCTGTGTGCACACACTCACAGGCATCTGTGTGGACACACAGGCATCTGTGTGGACACACTCACAGGCATCTTTCATTATACTAAAGACCATTTGTATAGCCTGTGAAGTGTGTCTCAATAGAGTTATTAAAAATGTTTTGATTGGGACTGGGTGAGGTGAGTTTCATGCCAGTTAGGGATACATAGTGAGACCCTATCTCCCAAAACAAGGCAAAAACAGTTTACCAAAAAAAAAAAAAAAAAAAAAAAAGTTTAGTTGGGACTGAGGAGATGACTCAGCAGTTAAGAGCTCCTGCTGCTTCTGAAGGGGAGTCAGGTATGGTTCCAGCACCCACACGGTGGCTCAGAGTCAACTGTAACCCCAGTTCCAGAGGATCCAGCACCCTCTTACGACTTCTGCAGGAACCAGGCATGGACGTAGTGTGTAGACATACAATACAGGAAGATAAAATATCCATAGAAATAAGTTTTAAAATTAAAAATGAAGGGCTAGAAAGGTGGCTCAGTTGTTTGGAGCACTTACTGGTCTTTCAAAGGGCCCTGATTTGATTCCCAGCATCCCCAGAGCAGCTCACAGCTGTCTACAACTACAGAGTCAAGGGATCTGATGCCTTCTGGCCAAATGGGCATCAGGCACACATGTGGTGCACAGACATGCATGCAGGAAATACACCCATACAGATACAAAATAAACCTTGAGCCCGGATTTTGGTCTTTTTTGAGACAAGGTTTGTTTATGTAAGCTTGACTGTCCTAGAACTAGCTTTGTAGACCAGACTGTGATGAATTCACGGAGATCCACCTGCCTCTGCCTCCCAAGTGCTGGAATGTAGAGCACTGTGCCATCACCACCCAGCTAAAATATTTTTTAAATGTAAAGCAAGCAAGCAAACAAAACTAGTCATGGTGGCGCATGCCTTTAGACCCAGCATTAAAGGAGCAGAGGCAGGTGAATGTCTGTGAGTTTGAGGCCAGCGTGGTTTGCTTACTAAGTTGCAGGTCAGCCAGAGCTACACAATGAGTTCATCCCTCCCCTCTTCATATAGAGACTCTACTCCTGTACTTGCCTAACATCCATGAGGTCCTAGATCAATTCCTAATAGTGAACTAAGAAAGGGAAAGAAGACAGGATTGTAGACACTCATCAAAATGAAATATAATGCCAAGTATGTGGCTCATTCCTGTAATCCCAGCACTGGGAACCTAAAGTGGGAGGAACATGAGGCAAGACCAGCTTGGGCTATTGAGTGAGAGACTCTCTCTCTCTCTCTCTCTCTCTCTCTGTCTCTGTCTCTCTCTGTCTCTCTCTCCCTCTCTCCTCTCTCTCTCTCTCTCTCCCTCTCTCCTCTCTCTCTCTCTTTCTATCTGTCTGTCTTTTACCCTCAAGAAAGGGATCTCGCCAGGCGGTGGTGGCGCACGCCTTTAATCCCAGCACTCAGGAGGCAGAGGCAGGCGGATCTCTGTGAGTTCAAGACCAGCCTGGTCTACAAGAGCTAGTTCCAGGACAGGCTCCAAAGCCACAGAGAAACTCTGTCTCGAAAAACCAAA